TACCACCACCAAGTGCGCACACGCACATGCACACAAAATTAAAATTTTCACTGTTTCAACCGTACACCTTCTTACTCATGCAATCTCTTTGCATAAAATGAATGGAACCTCATGAAGCCAATCATCTGAGAATTGAAAGTCAGAAAGGTGAGATTATAGGGAGAATGTTCGGTTCTTCCCTTCTATTTTCCATAGTTTGTCTTGTGATGTGATAGCAGCTAAAAAGCATAAGAGAGAAGGTGCCAGGAAAGTATGTGTGCAGACAAATAAGTATTTATGTTCAAGGCATTATTTTAAAGTATTATTTGTGGTCAGAGATGCTGTTACTAATTATATAACTTTGTATAACATACTTCCCCATGTCGGCATAGTTTGCTCTGTTGTCTTTGGTTGTTAATAATGCAATTGTAAAAGGACTAGCCATTTCTAGCCCCAAACTGAAGTTTATTTAAATCAATGATTCCAGACTTTAAATTTGTGACATCATGTTAGTTAATTTTGTAACATCACTGCTTTCTTTGAAATTTTATTTATGCAGTTACTTATTTTAAAAATTTTTCCTTAAGAAATCTTAGAGGGATAAGTGTCTGTTTTTAAATAAATCAGCTTGAAATCTGCTGTGTTAGCCATATCTATAGTAGAACACAACATTATTTCTACCTTTATTTGGAAGTATAAACATTGCATTTGTTTTGTAGTCTCCATTTATATAACCAACATTGAGGAAGGATAGTATAGTATAATTTGCTGGGTTTCACAATGTGAGTATAGCTCTTTTGGCTTGAATACTTTAGAGATTGAGTGATTTTATTCCAGGAAACAACTTTATATTACCTCTCTAGCCAAAATACTGTTATTTTCCTGGCCTACCCATCAATATGGTCAACTGAATGATAATAAAAGCTAGTACACAAAGTTTAATATGTGGTAGGCTACAAAATATGACAACTTCTATATTTCCAAATAAAATTATCAATAGTACTATATGTTCTACTGTAGATATTGTTGAGGCAGACAATTTTACATTGATTTTTTTAAACACACAGACACGGTCCCTCTGAGATTACCTATAAAAGAATTGTGGAGTATATATGTTCTAAGTATCTGTGATATATTAACTCATTTAATATTCAATTCTATGGCATAAGTACTATCATTATACCTATTTTATAGACAAGCAAACTGAGGCCCAAAGATGTTAAATAACTTCCTAAAACCTGGAAATGAATCTCCTCATCCTCCTTATACCATGTGAATTTTTCCTTTGCTATACTTTACAGGGTGTAGTATGCAGCCAGTCCAGTGGCCATGCTATGACTCGAAGCCAAGCAATCTGGCTCCTGAGACTATGTGCTTCACATCAAAACTGTACAGTCTCCCAATCCAAGTGTTTATGTGTTTCTATCCTTTCTCACAGAGTTTGCTAGAAGTACCGTTGTTTAATAATAAATATTTTTTAAAACTACTTTTCTTATATAACATTTATTAAAAACTTCTGCTATGGGTTGAATTGTGTCCCCCAAAGGTTCATGTATTAACCTCCACTGTAAGTGTTGAGGGTGGGAAATCATATTATGGAAATTGAAAGGTGGGGCCTTTGAGAGGTGATTAGGTTGTGAGGGCCATGTCTTAGTGAATGGATTGATCCATTCGCTGAGTAATAAGTTGATGGTTTAATGGGTGGTAATGGGCATGTTTCTGATGGTAATGGGCATGTTTCTTTACAAAGAGAGTGAGGGAGCACTCTCTCGCTTAAGCCATTTGCCATGTAATACCCTACATGGCTGTAGATCCACCATGAACAACACCCTCATCAGATGCACCTCCTGGACTATGGACTTCCCAGGCTCCCAAACTGTAAGCAATAAATGTTGTTTCTTTATAAATTACCCAGTTTCAGGTATTCTGTTATAAGCAACAGAAACAGACTAATATAACTTCATATTTTAGTAAAATATTATTTCTTTTTAAAATTGTTCTTCTCGAGTACATTTGTTCAAATACCTGAAACTTATAGTTAACTCATCAGAAAGTAAATAGCACACTGAATGGTCCTTCCAGGTATTATGAACACTTGACTTTCCATCACTTGTCAAAGGTGACACTCTTTCCCCAGTAATGTGTAGTTTTTTCTATAATATTGTTCCATCCACACAGTAACAGGAAGCATATCTACATTTGATTAATTTCATCCCTTCTCTACCAGGATGTCAGGGTAAACATTGCCGGTAATGATTACACTAACAAACAGCAGACACTTACAGTTCTTTTACTTGTCAAAATAAGAGTTTAATATGATTATATAAACTGAGTCTCTCATAAGTCTTCAGAATAATAAGAGCTAAGTAATAATAAGAGCTATTTAATTCATTCTTTGAAAAGTTTTATAGGATTGGATTCAATATTAACAATACTCCTCTGTGCAAAGCTACTGGACATTATTTCTGTAATTTCTATTCCTCCTTAATTTTGAAATTGTTTTCTGTTTATTATAACAAGGTAGTACTCCTCTCACAATCTGGGGCTAGACTCAGATTCTACTGAGACTTGTTCTTTCTTGTTCCCCATTTAAAAATTATTTATTGAAAACTACTTTTTTCATAGCTATTTGCCTCTGGAAGCAATTGTTCGTAATTGAGGCATATTTTCTTTTGTAGAAATTCACAGCTGTGAAGAGGTTTCCCAGTGGGTTAATAAATAGGTTTTTGTCAGAATCCTCTACTTGATGTTTCTCCAGATTAAAAAGGGTCAAAGACCGAGCCTGTTCTGGGAGCTAATAGAACCAAATCACCTGCAGTTTAACATTTAACACTTTGGAAAGCCAAATTAGCTTGAGGTCTTCTTTTCTGTAATGAATAGTTTGAAAGCAATAGTTTTTCTTTAAAATTAAAACTCAGACATATTGGTGCACATTAGGTTTTAATGTAGTGAAAGCTTATCATTGAAGGATGCAGTCAAAATAAACCTCACAGGCAGCATTTCCTAAATAGTATAGCTTTGCTCAGTCTGTTGATAATATACAAATATTTAACTGGCAAATGTGAAGCCTTTCACCATGCCCACCAATTTCTTTGCATTAACTCCCTTTTGTTGTTCCATTTGCTTATTAATCACCCCACAGTTTGAGGAAAATGAACCCCTACTGTAGGAAATCACTGCTATCAGTCTAACCCAAGCCCCTATCAATCTTCTTATTGGTATCCCTGCTTCTACTCTTGTCTAGCTAACTACTGCGTGTACCGTGAGGTTAAGCACGCACATATTAAAGACAAAGTGTCTGGATTTAACTCCTGGCTCTGCCATAGCTGTATTGCCTTGAGTGAGCTCTTTAACTTCTGCTCCGTTTCCCCATCTGTAAAATGAGGATATTACTTTACCTCATATGGTTGTTCTGAGGATTAGTTAACAATGTTCCTTAAATTGGTATAAGTGCTATTAAATGCTAAATAAAAAGTCTTCATACAGCAACCAGAGCAACCCTCAAAATGTCAGATATTAATCCCTTGGTTGACCTCTTCTAAATAACTTCACACTTAAAAAATAAAATTGGAACTCCTTACTAAGGCCTTTAAGTCTACTTCTCTGGTTTCATCCCCCCTTTGCTTCCTCTACTACGGTTACTCTGGCCTGCTCCCAAGGTACTAAGTAGTTCTACTTCAAAGCCTTTGCACTTGCAATTCCTTCTTACTCGAACACTATCTCCCCAGATTTTTGCATTGCTCACTCCCCTAGGTAGCTGCTCAAATATGCTGAGGCCTTCTTCATCTAAAATAGCACATCCCCAACACACATTCCTTATTCATTAGTTCCTTGCCCGTTTTATTTTTCTTTAAGCACTTCTCACCACTGACATTTTACGAGGGTACTTCCAAAAGTTCATGTTAAGATTCATATTATCTTTAATTCTATTTTTCCACAAACTTTTTAAAGTACCCTCATATTGTTTAGTACCTTTTTCTTCAAACTGGAATGTAAGCTCCTGAGTACAAGAATTTTATTTTGGTCACTCCTGTAGTGTCTGCACCTATACCACCACCTGGCATTGGTAGTTCTTAGTAAACATTTGTAGATAGATGCTAGGTTAAACCCCCCTCTCCCCCAATTTTTCTTTTTTTTCCTGAGGACCTTAACTGAATATGGTTTTTTTTTCATGGTATGCACCTAACATATCCTACTCCCACACTTGCACTTGATCCAGGGTTTCTCATTAGGCCACTCACTTTAGAAAGATAAACTTTGGGCTTTTAGAAAAAAACATAAAGAGTAGGTTCTTATTTGTAAAGTAAAGGATAAGCAAACACAGCATAAGTGTTGATATTTTTTTCAAAGGGAAGTATTAAGTACTATGTAGCAAATTAAATTGTAGATGAAAGAGCCACATTTTCTAACATTCAGTTTTTAATTTATCTACCTGCATTAGTCTGTTTCTGTTGCTTATAACAAAATACACAGAACTGGGTAATTTATAAAGAAAACAAAATGTATTTGCTTACAGTTTCTGAGGCTGGGAAATCCAGAGTCCACCTGATGGTGGTGACAGTGATCCAGGGGTCTCACATTGCAAGACCGTGGAAGCAGAGAGTGCAGAGGGAGACAGTCTCCTCTTCTTTTAAAACCCTCAGAACCACACCCCTGACCACCATTTTTAATCCAATCACCACAGCACAGCCCTATAATCCAATCACCTCTTCAAGGCTCCACCTTTCAATTACTGTAATACGATTTCCCACCCTCTTAACAGTCACAGTGGGGGCTAAGTTTCCAATACATAAAACTTAGGGGACACAATTCAAGCTTCAGTGAGTTTTGGGGGAACATAACTCAATCCACTACAACACAATTCAAGCTTCAGCACAATTCAAGCTTCAGTGAGTTTTGGGGGAACATAACTCAATCCACTACACTACTTACCTGTGATTTTATACAGATCACGAATGGGTAGTAGTACTTTGATTATAGCATATATGTGTAGTTACAAGTTTTTCTTTTTTCTTTTGCAGGTTAATGACTCCAGAGAGTGAGATCAGATTTGTCCACAAGGAGATGGGTATAATACCAAGCTGGGGTGGCGCTTCCCGGCTGGTTGAAATAATCGGAAGTAGACAAACTCTCAAAGTGTTAAGTGGGGCCCTCAAACTGGACTCACAAAAAGCTTTAAACATAGGAATGGTCGAAGAGGTCTTGCAGTCTTCAGATGAAACTAAATCTCTAGAAGAGGCAAAAGAGTGGCTAAAGCAGTTCATCAAAGGGCCACCGGAAGTAATCCGAGCTTTGAAAAAATGTGTTTCTTCAGGCAAAGAGCTATGTTTAGAGGAGGCATTACAGAACGAAAGAGATCTTTTGGGAACGGTTTGGGGTGGACCTGCAAATCTAGAGGCTGTAGCCAGGAAAGGAAAATTTAATAAATAATGTTTTTAAAAATACTAATGTACAAGTAAAGCTCCAATGATTAATATGTATAAAAGTTAAATGATATTAAATATGCACATCAGAATGACTTTGAAGGCTACGACCAGTATTCAAATTTGTTTTTAATAATTTTTTGAATATCTGAACTCGTTGACCTAGTTTTTTACCAAATAATCATTTGTAAAGTAAAGATTCCAAGTAATCTGGAACATTTGGCTAAAATATACAACGCTTTTGGCTTAAAAATTATTGCTATCAATTTCTACATTCCTGTAATAGTTCTTAGCTTATAACCAAAGATCAGTGTTTAAAAGGAAAAGCTTCTACACAAAACCTATTCCTTGGGTTATTTTTCATAAGATTTTTGTTCTGTCTTACCTGGAAATAATTTACAAAAATAACTGCCTGAACCTTGGAGTTAAAGAACAAAAGTGGACAGGGATCAGGGGACAAGAAAATAAAAGTTATGATCAATCATTTTCTTCTGTTCCAAGCTGCTGGAATAAAAGTCATGGGAAATAGCCCTTCATTTAAAAAAAAAAATACACCCTATTACACTCTACAAATTTGGAGGCTAATTTGATGTTTTCTATTAGTTTTCTATTTTAAATAACCTACTAGTGAAAGCCGTAATAGGGAAAGTCAACTGACTCTACAAATTTGCCATTCGTGTGACCTGGGATTTCCAAACTAGTAATAAATACTACTGCCAATGTAGTTTTAAAATTTGAAACTACTCAAAGGGACTCATGAAGTATCCTGCAACATAAATTTGCATTTTACATCGGATTTCTATTTTTTTCCTGAAAAACAGCTAACCTTTCTCCTTTTATAACTAGGTATCTTTTAAAAGTTAATTTAATAAAAATATACAACTCTGACTTTTATGATCATCCCAGTAATAAATATATGCTTTTTAAAAACTTATAAATCAAAGAATTAAGTCCCAATTCTAACCTTTCACAAGAGGTAAAAGATCATTTCCAAGTAGTGACAGTTTTTATTTGCTAATGTAACATTCAATTCACATTTGAGCATCATAGTAAAAATAACTTGCATATGCTTTATCAACATGATCCTATTTTTTTGTTAGGAAACAATAGTAAAATAAACTTTTTTTAACAAAGCTAAGTTTATTAAACTTGTGCAGAAAGGAAATACTTCACACCTTAACAGAGTTTTACCTTAGAGATACTATACTTATAGGGCTTTAGAGCCTAGTACCTTAGGGGTACTATGTTTATAGTGCTTTAGAGCCTAGGCTGTATGATTTTAAGGTGGATTTGACAAGTACAGAACTGGTTGGGACTGGGCAGAGTTGATGACCTAAAATCTTTGGGTTGGTGACCACAGTGTCTTGAAAGTACTGATGAGCAAGCACGTTACTTTTTTTTAAGAGGCAAATTCTAGATTACCATGTTAACGCAATATTCTGTATCTTGCTATAGATATAAAAACTGCCCAATAAAAGTGGATTTTGTGATATACAACATTTTGTATAAAGTGAGTGCATGTTTACTAATGGTGTTTACTATGTCTGCCATTTACTCCAGAGTGTTAAGACTATTATTGAAGACTGGTAAGGAAAACACAAAATATTTATGGCATCAGCTATTAGAGAAATTTAAGTCTCACAGGTTTTAGGTTTATTTTTCCATACCTATTTATTCCATACAAACTGCCTGTAGATTAAACAGTCTCTATGAAGAAATCAAACTTTTCTCAGCAGGTGACTATTTAAGCTACCTACAACCAATTCAAACCACCACCTTCTTAGTGACCTTTGGCCACAAATATCAAAAAGTTTCCATCCCCTTCCCAGACTCAAACAAGACAAATTATTTTTTGATAAACTCTAGAATTTATTAAATTATAAAGTTTGTAATCAAAAAGAAAAATGCAGACCAAGAGAAACTCAAACTACAAGGACTAGACAGCAAAGCCTATGGTAATGCCATGAAGTGTGTTACAAAGATTCCAAAACATAAATTATTAGCTGTTTTCTTTACATTTCCATTTCAATAACTGTACTACAAAATAGTTGTTATTCATCTATTTTAAAATCCCAAATTCACATCTATTCTCACATTAAATTATACTTCCTGCTCATTATATCAAAGATCTCATAAGTGCCAAATTTTAGTAATGGTTTATGCCAATTCATGCAGAAAAATAAGACAATGCAAGCGTCAGATGAGGACCATTAATGCACAGATAATACACACACACACTGGCCAAAAGAACTAAAGAAACAAACAAAAAAACCCAAAACAAACTACAAACAGAACTCAAGAAAACTGGGTTATTATTAAACAGCTCTCAACTATTAACACCCAAGTTCCTTACATTAAATACATTTCTCAACAGAGACATGTTAAACATTTTAATTACAGATCTATTCTTCCCAAACCCCTTCCCACCCAAGTCCCAAAATGTACCACTAGGGATGAGTATAATGTTATGTGGGCAGAATTTTACAGATAACCATTTCAACCTTGAGCATGGATCTGAAAATTTTTTTATTTAAACTTCAGTTACTGTACACTGTCCATCAGGCCTTCTAGATCTGACACTGACACTCACTGTTCCACCCCCTGCTACTGATCGATCAGCTCCTGATCGATCTGATCGGTCAGCTACTGTCTGGTTTGCATTAGGAACCAAAAGTCTCTGTTGGGCCAAGGAGTGCTGTGCAACAACTGCAGATACATCCTCACTATCACTACTGGCATCTGATTCGGTTTCTTCAATAGAAGTGTCTGGTGCTGGTACCCTGCCTGAAGATGGTGATTCATGATCTTCTTCTCCTTCCCCCCTGTGACTCCTTTCAGCTACGTTGTCTCCACTGAGTTGTAAATGAGCAAAAGAGTCTTCCAGAGAAGCACTTGCATCAGGGGATGGTGTTGCAGGGCTTGTTAACTGACCGTCTACTGATGTTAGGGGCCTTACAGAAGATGACACTAAAGGTTGAACGGAAGCTCCACTCTGTGCTGATATACTGTCCGCTCCATCAGCAGAGCTCTCTCTTGCTAGGTTTACGGTATTAGCGTCACAGTCCAGCCTAAGTCCGGCTACTCCCTTCTTTGGTATATCTATTATATCTCGCTTAATCTTCCTGCGACGTCCATGCTCATTTCTCCTATATTGAACCATATTTTCAAGATCAGCAACATAGAGAAAACCAGCAATTAACATTTCGGTGTTCTTTTTACCTTTGGAAAAAGCATCTTCCAGCTCTCTACTAGTGCGTTCATCATATTGCCACCACCCATTTCTTCCTTCATAATACCATGCATATTCACCATTTCCTCTACTTGCTGCCTTGAGTTCTTCTGGTGACAACAAAGTTGGCTTATCAAGGAAATCCTCAGGAATTTCTTGTCGACAAAGGGCACATCGTTTTCCAAGCCATGAAGCTCCCTTTACACACAGATAGCAAAAAACATGCTTACAGGGCAGACTGACTGGGTGAACACATGTTTGCAGACAAATGGCACATTCAGGGACGGTTAGAGAAGGTGTGGAATTAGAACAGGACTCATTTGCTTTCCTGTTTGTAGGAAGCATGTTTATTGAGTGATCAATTTCACCACAGCCAGCCATCCTAAGAAAATGAGAAAAAATATATATATTATTAAAATCGTGTTTTAACTCTTCCAATATTTTAACTCAACAATTCAGAAAATACTTATTAAGCGCTTATTATATGCAAGCCACATACTAGACAAGGGGATACAAAGATGAAAGTAGAAAAAAAAAAAAAAACCTTAATTTGTGTAGAAAATCTTTTTGATTTGTATTTATGTGTCATGGGCTTTTAGCAGGGAGCAATGAAGTACACAAATGTTAACCCCCCCCCCCAAAAAAAAAATACAACCAAGGTACAAATTTTAGATAAATATATCTTTTCTACTCTGACACAGAATTTATAAACCAGAACTAAATGCAAAGACTTAAAAATGTACAATCTAGACTGACTTTACAATCAATCTGGAAAGTAGTTAGAGAAACAGAAGACAGCTAAAAGTAATTCAGATTACAATTACAGAAAGCAACAATTTTGTAGCCTTTTAGGACATTACTATAGCGATTTTGCAAATATTGCCATATATTAATATATTTTTGGTACTTGACAGGTAGACGATATGAAGTTAAAACTAAAGTTGAAATTCTAGGAGTTCCCTATCCCTGCTGTATATCTAAAAATATTGGTTCAACTGGTTCAACTGGTTCACTGGTTCAAGTCATCTGTCATACTTAACTATTTCCTCTCTGTGAAACACTCTTAATGGATTTTTTTGTTGTTGTTGCCTTTTTCTATTTGTCTAAACCATATGCTCTCCTAGCTGTATTCTTTTAAGACCAAGATGGTATCATTTATACTCATGGCTTCAATTATTATCTATACACAACTGATACACGAACTGATTTCACTAGCCCAGACCTCTCCTTTCAACCATGGACTTATATTTATAATTGCCTATTTTAGATCTTTTCTAGGATGTCCCGAAGGAACCAAAATTGAACTCATAATCTGATTCCTTCTACTTGCTCCCTAAAAGCCCCCCTAGTGACACCATTATCAATCTGCTTATCTAAGCCAGAAATCCATCCTGGAAACAGCCGTTCTCCTACACCTCCCTATCTAAAACATCAGCAAGTTGTATCAACTTTACATTCTAAACATCTCCTGAATTCAACTATTACCCTTCCCTAGCTGCCAAGCAAACACTGTTTATAAAATTACTGCATATGCATTTTAACTGGTCCAGCCACATCCCATGCTTAAAACGGTTGATTTCAGGGTAAAAACTAAAATGTTTAACAGAATCTATCTGCATGTCTCACCCCCATCTCCCATGACAGACTCATCTCACATCAAACTTCCCCCTGACTAGGTTTCTAGCCACACTGGCTAACCCTCCTCCAATAACAGGTTTTCTCTACATGGGACACTTCCTCCTCACTTCTTGCCTTCCATACCCTGCAATGGGCAAAACATTACCCATCTTATACCCCTCTTGAGAAAGCATCCATGACTAAGTCAAATCACCCTATTAACTTCTTATCACACACTCCTCATTCCTTATCAGAATTGCAATGTTACACTTATTTGTGGATTTTTTTTTTTAATATCAATCTTCCCAAAAAGCCGGTGTGCTTTATAAGGACATGGGACAGGTCACTTTTGGCTCATCTCTGTATTTCCACACAGGACCTTGGGAATGTATGAAGATTGTGTCAGTGCACTTACAAATCAGCCATGAAGAAGCACACTAAAGAATTATATCATGAAAAGCTGCAGCAAGCTAAGGGAAAAATGATAATTTGAATTAAGGCAGCTGTTACACAGTGAAACCAATGCTAGGCTAGAATCTAAAACCTGAGTCTTAGTTTCCCTTATTAATTATGTGCTCTTAGGCACTCAATTAAATCCTTAGTCCAAATTTCCTTACCTGCAAATCAGTTTACAAAGCTCAGACAAAAATGATCAAAAAATGCTTTGTTATCACTAAAGCTCCATAAACATTATAATCATAAGACCAAAGGAGAAATAATATGAATATCAAAGTTGCTGTGAAGAGAAAGGAGAGAAAAAGAAAAAGACAACATTTGTCAAATTGGATGTATCAAGCTTAAACACTGACAAAGCTTAGAACATCTGCCTTATCGATTGAGACAAACATTTACTGAACACCTGTCATGGACCATATACAATGCTGAGTTTTGATGGTATAAAAATGAATAACACACATCCCTAGTATGTTAAATAAGGAAACATACACACAAGCATATAATCACAACATGGCCTGATTCCTGCAATAACCAAAATGTGTTAAGATACTTACTAAAATAATGACAAGAGAGAGATGGGAGGATGGACATAGATTAGAAAGTCTGGGGTGCAGAGGGGACTATGGAGTGGAGGAGATTCCAGGCAGAGACATATGCAAAGGACTGAGTCATATAAGCAATGGAATAAGCAGGAGATGAAGCTGTAATCAGGAGCCCTGCTAAAGAAACATCTGTTTCGATTTTTATCCCACAGAAACAAGAAACCACAGACATTTTAAAAGGAAAGAAAATGACAGAAGTAGACCAGTGGATGTAAAAAGATCATGAAACGGAGGTGATGATCTCTGAGACTAGAAGCCATTATCAACAATTGCTTAACATGCGTGACAATCTCTCTGCACCTGTTAATTCTGCCGTTTTAAACACAGAATATTTAGAATTTAAACACCATAAGGACCTTTGCTTTTTCTAAGATCAAGCACTCAAAGATGGGTCTAGTGGTACAAAAGGGATAGTCAATAAAAATATTTACACTAATCAAAAATTGGAAAACAATATTCTTATTAGGCTTTCATCATAGCACATCCAATCTTATAACAATCTATTCTTTTACTGCTTTTTCTGTGTCCTTAGTTCCTCAAAAGACAAGGTTCAAAGTGATAGTAAGTTTTTAAAGATTGCACATATTTAGAAAAGGAAGCAACAGTCTCAAAAGAAGAAATGACTGAAATGCTTAATTTCCAAATTCTTTTTTCAACCTTTAATTACATTTCCAATCAACTCCTTCATCAGAGACTTTAGTGATAGAAACCAGCAAAGTACAACTTTTTCCTAATCTATGGAAAGTTTCAAACCAACCAAATACTACTTCATAATATGTCAGGCAGTATAGGAGCTTCAAAATATTTTGACATAAACCTTTGCTTTCAAAGATCTTGTAACTTAAAACAACCTAAGTTACAAGTGAATGCACATGCTTCGCAACTAGTCAATTAACATTCCCCACCTATTACCCACTCAAAAGATTTGGTTGTCCAACATCACGTTTTGTTAGGTTCTCAGAAACTTTCATCCCTTTAAATTTAGGTCACAGAATTTAGCTTCAATGATACTCCTGAAAGTCTTGTTTTTAATTTTCATATTTATTTAAAGCTCCGATTAAGAAAAAAAAAAATTAAGAAAGCAATCTACCTACAAGTAATAATTTAAGTGAGGAAGAAAGATTTTATTCATGATTTCTACTGACACAAAATGGAAAAACAGGCTGATGCTCTCCAATACTTTAGAAAAACAATAACAACATCTCATATATAAAAAGTCCATATCCTAAACCATCTAGGTACTTTGTGAACAAAAGATAGGCTGATAAATAAGAAACATAAAATTCTGGTTAAATGTAAACAAAATATACACGTCACTTGGACCAATGCACTACTTTTAAATACATAATTCCACACCTGTTATATTTGCTTTAAGTAAAATTGACCCAAAACATCAGTTTTCCATCAAATTCAGCTGGCTTATCTAAACAAAAGGAAGTTCTCAATCTAAAAACATTACTTTCCACCCTGCTTACTATGATCAGTATTTTGTGTGACTCTTGCTCCTGCAAGCATGAATAAACCTAAGCATATAATTTCAAAACTAAATTTTCATAACATTTCATAATTTTCAGAATAATTATGACCATCTCACAAGAAGGTATAAACTGTAAAAATAACACACTTGGAAAGGCAAAAATATTCTATTTAGGCAGGTATTTGGGTTCCCTCATCAAAATGAAGTAAAGTTGTATAAAGTTCATCAGCAAAAAATTACAGACACCAGATAGCTAAAGTTCATTATTTCATCTGAAGCACTATCAACTATCAATTTGCCACAGCAAATTTTATATTCTATTCTGTTTAACCCAACAAGTATACTGTTAACCTACCACCAACTAAGAAACAAGGAGAAAAACTTTGTAATACTTCTTATGTAAAATAAACATATATAACAAGATAAAGACAAAGCAACCCAAAGCCAGTAGCGTGCCTATCAGACAAACTTCAAGGTTATTTTGCATAGTTTTGAAGATCTTAAAATAGGTGGGAGGCTAAACGTATGCAGAGAATCATACCAATATGTAAATAATTTTGAAAAAGGAAATTTCCTGGTTACTAAATTAAAAATAACTGAATATAGAGAAATTTGGAGTGAAGTTAATCCAACTTTACTAATGAACATAATAAACATAGCACTCTTTTTTTTTTTTTTTTGGCAGCTGGCCGGTATGGGGATCTGAACCCTTAGACCTTGGTGTTACAAGGCTGCACTCTAAGCAAATGAGCTAACCAACCAGCCCTATAGCACTCATTTTAACAAACTTTATTACTAACTAAATTCATGTGTTATTATAACTTTTAAGCATAAATCTCATTCTTCTTCCCATAGATAAACCATGTAAAATATTTCTGCAAGACAATTAAGTGTCTATTAACACTAGTAAGTCTTCTCAAGACAAAATATAGAGGGGTGTAGACAGTGGAAACCTCCAAATACTAGGGTTTTGTTGAACCTCGTTGAAGACATCTAGTCAAAGGAAAGGTAAAATTACTATAAACAAAAAAGGTCTTTAGAATACATAATATTGAAGAACATTTTAACCAGTAATAAAAGTTCCAAACATTAAAAATCAGATTTTTTTAAAATCTAGGTTCAGAATCCAATTAAAAACACACAAAAAGGTATAAAATAATACATCACTTTTCAAAAGTGCGGGCCCATCAAAAAAGAAAGTTATCTTCCTTCCCAAAACTTTGACTATTT